GGCCCGGCACCAGCCCCGGCCTCAGCCGCAGCCCGGACACTGCGATGGCGATGGCGAGGGGGGCTTTGCCTGCGCCCTGGGCCCGGCTCCAGCGGCCCCCGGGAGCCCCAGGGAGGAGCGGCCGTGCGGACCCCAGTCCCAGCTCCCTGCCGGGGACGGGGCGCGGCCGCCGGGCGCGCAGGGCTTGAAAAACCACGGCAACACCTGTTTCATGAACGCCGTGGTGCAGTGTCTCAGCAACACCGACCTGCTGGCCGAGTTCCTGGCGCTGGGGCGCTACCGGGCGGCGCCGGGCCGCGCCGAGGTCACCGAGCAGCTGGCGGCGCTGGTGCGCGCGCTCTGGACGCGCGAATACACGCCCCAACTTTCCGCCGAGTTCAAGGTAGGCAGCGCCCTGCAGCCGGCCCTTCTGGTTTCGCTTCTTGGAAAGTGCGTGCACCACCAGCAAGGGGTTTTCTTGGGACCCTCTTTAGATGCCATTTACCAGTGGAGCCTCGGGTTATGGCCTTTGTTTTGAGTTGATGTGTTATGCTATCGCTTGCATTTGTTTTCTTTACGAATTAATTTCCCCCAGGTATTTTGAACGGGGGTGGGGAGAGCGGCAGGTTTAAGTATGTTCAGCATTTTTGCATTCAACGAGCATTTGTCGAAGTGTTGAAGGTCTGGGTTCTAATGCCCGGGATAAAGCTCCCAATCTGGAGGGGTGTGGTGTGGGCAATCCGAGTGTGAAGGCCAAAACCTCGGAGGAAGGAGGTGATGCTTTCGCTGAGATCTTAATAATGAGGAGAATGCAGCCAGGCTAAGATCTAGGAATAATCCAGGCTGAGGGAACAGCAAGTACAAAGGCTGAGAAGAGTTGAGTGTTGGAGGCATGGAAAGAAAACTAGTGTCGCTGGAGCTCAGGAGGCAGGTGAGGTTCCCCAGATCATGTAAAATCTTGGAGACAGTGGTAGAGTTTGGATTTATTCCGAGCCCAATGGAAGCTGAGATCCCACGGGCCAGGTATCGTGCTTAGTGCCTGGGGAAGGCAGTGGGTGTGCTGTTTTGGAAAAGGCATCCTTTTGTTTACTGCACATTCAGTTTCCTACAGTGTGTTAGCAGCGGGTTACATTTCTTGTCCGCAGGATCACGGTCTACTTACTCGGGATGCTGCAGGGTCATGAGGTTTTGTAAATTGTGTGTATCACTTCACCCGGAGTTAAAGCGGGGTGTGTGTTTGGGGTCCCAGTTGGATTAAAGAGTTCCTGATAATTGATGCACATGGCTTGCTTCCTGCTAAAAAACCGCAGCTCTGGGCAGAGAGCTGAAGCTCCCCACAGACTGGTGATTGTTGTTCTTGGGGGAGGGGGGAACCTGTCAGTGTTCATTCCACAAGCATCACCGCTCTTGAGTTTCAGCCTGAGAAAGCATTCTTTGCCGTGTGACCCACAAGGATGCCAACCCCCACCTTTCTGTCTCCTGCCTCCATTAGTGAAGCACTCTTTTGCGGACGTCAGTGGGTCAAATGATGTCACTAATGTCTCTTTTTTTGGCAATATTCGCTTTTTAAACAGGAGAAACTATAGTATAGTTGTTAAGAGCAAGGTCTCTGAGCGGTGTGAACTTGAACAAATTACTAAATCTTGCTGTGTCTCTACTTTCCTCATTTGTAAAATGGGACCAAAATGGTACCTACCTTATTATAGGGTACCGTAAGTATTAAATAAGTGTATGTAGAGCACTTAGAACAGTGCCTGGCCCATAAGAAATGTTTGTTATTCTATCATCACCCCTCCTTACCTGCAGAGACCTAGAGGGGGGAGGGAGGGAGGTAAACTTTGTGTATATTTTCTCTTGCCATATGCATTCCCATTCACTTACTGCAGCAATGGGAGACACCAGAGTAGTAAACTCCCAAATTAGTAATCGCCCTCAGTGACTCCCCAGAATTTCCTATCTTTCTCCTGCTGTCAAATCCTGAGGGCCTGGGAGCCCCCAGTGAGCTTTAGCAGATTGAAAGATAATCAAGTTGTTAATATTTTAATGAGGGAGATATCATCTGAGGTTCCCTGGAACTTTTGGGTAGCCAGCCTTGGAAGAAGTGCAGGATTCCAGAATCTGGGCTTTTAAACATTGTGGATTGAAATCTAGATGGTCTCTTCTACGAAGGTCCTTCAAAAGGTTCATGAAAAAATAGATTGAAAGATAATACAAGTCTTTCCATGAACTTTTCAGTACGC